CTATTTGCTGCGGATTTTGATATTTGGGTAAACAAATTTTTGTTAATTATTATCAATTCTTATTGTAAGAAATTGTTACAGATGTTTTTATATAATTATCTTTATTGCAGATTATCAAATGATTAATTGAACACGAATTTTAAGTAATTATCAAAAAACGAAGGTGAATTTGAGGTAACAGAGGTTGCAGCTTTTTATTTTCTTGTAAATCAAGAGATTTTAATTTTTTTTACTTTTTTCAGATGATGGAGATGTGTTATTTGGTAAAGACAATTACGGAATTTCGTTTGGATAATAATCAATATTGGAAAACGAGCGAGAAATATATTAATAATATTGCCATTTGCTGCGGATTTTGATATTTGGGTAAACACATTTTCGTTAATTATTATCAATTCTTATTGTAAGAAACTGTTACAGATGTTTTTATATAATTATCTTTATTACAGATTATCAAATGATTAATTGAACACGGATTTTAAGTAATTATCAAAAAACGAAGGTGAATTTAAGGTAACAGAGGTTGCAGCTTTTTATTTTCTTGTAACGTTATTTAATGTCTTTTTGTATAATGTTTCAAATCAAGAGATTTTATTTTTTTTACTTTTTTCAGATGATGGAGATGTGTTATTTGGTAAAGACTTATGTCTTTTTGTAGGTTGCGATGGGTGTGTTTGGAGCGAAATTGGATTAATTGCAAATGCGATGGATTCGATGGGTTGAGGGCGTGACCGTGTGAGGGTGGTGTGGTGATGGCGGGGGAGAGCGCGTCCGCGTTTTGCAGCCAATGGTCGTGACCCGGGGGAAGGGCCAGAAGGGTCTCGCCGTCGGAGATGCCTGCACCACCACCACCATAGGTATCATCATCATCGAACGGACGGACGAAACATCCATCCGCATAGCACGCAACCAGAGAGACACGGTGCGAGTGCGAGCAGAGCTGCTGACACTCGGAGCGCGAGCAGTTTGTGCGAGGTGGTCGCGGCGGATGGTCGAGCGGAGTCGAAGTCGTCGGAGAGAGTAGTAGCAGCAGCAGCAGCAGCAGCAGTAGTTTAAAAATGGCGGAGGCTAAAGGTGCATCGAGTGCGAATCCGAACGCCGAGATCGTCAGGGGCCAGACGTTCGAGGTGGGCCCCAGGTACACGAATCTGGCGTACATCGGGGAAGGAGCCTACGGGATGGTCGTGTAAGTCTTTGCAATTCGCGAACCCATTCAGAATCTATCAAACCATCATCATCATCGTAGTTGTAATAATACTTGGCCTATACCTAAACGAGAGTCTCGCAGCATCCGGACGATCGCAAACGTCCTCTCGTTTCGTCTCAAGCTTAGAGCCAACGCGAAGCATGCAAAGAACAGAGCAATCCACTTTCTTTTGTTGGTCTCTGTGCGCTTCGAGCACAGGTACATTTTTTTTTGTAGGTTATGTTATCGATCGACGGTCGCCGCCGCTCGAATGAGCATCCAGACGTCGCGACGCGTGCCAATATTTTGTTCGCGAGGCGGAGCAGAGCCTCGCGGAATTCCCATTTTTTTTTTTTCAGTTTCTTTCTTTTAGAACAAACAAATCTTTCAGGCAAACTTTAGCAACTCTAATGTGTTGTTGTTGTTGATATAATATTTGATGCTGATTAATTTATCATGATGTTGACGAGATGAGCTCCTCTTCTGCTGCTGTTGCCGGTTGATGAAGGCGTGACGCGACGCGAAATGCACGGTGGTGAAAGAGGAGGAGGAGGAGCAGGCCGCGCCTTAAAATAAACAACAGTTGATAAGCGCGAAATTTGTGGAAACGCTCGTTGCAAAATTTTTGTATACATACTAATTTTAATGCAAATTTTAATCTTTAAAAAGTTTACAATATTCTTTTTTTTACGACGCTTAAAAACACAAATTTTGTTATAAAAGTCTCTTTTGTTTACACACTATACAAATTTAGTTTAGAGAAAATTACATTTTTTTTTTATAATTTTCTGCATTTATGGAAAAACTAATTTGGAAAAAATCGGCATATCTCTGTAATTCAATAACATTTTTGTTATGTAATGTGAAAAAAAAAAAAACGCGCAATAGAATAGACGTTTTCTGATGATATTATAAAACTAACACTTGAGCTCTTGAATTTGTAGAGTACACACAACATGCTTGAGATGTATATAGTGCCATTATTGCTGGGTCAATTTAACGTTTGTTATTTGTATTTATCGAGTAGCAGGAGAAGGAAAGACTTGACCTTTAGCGACGACGGAAAACTCCTAACTGCAGCCCGGAGCGTTTTAATATATAGATATATATTGAACGTCGTCCGAGACGATATTTGCGTTTCGCCTTTGTCGACCGACCGAACTTGACATTGATTGGCCTAAGGGATTTCAGTTTCGAACTTTTGCGAAGAATTTTGCGACAAAACAAAAAAAAAATGTAATTTTCGAACGTTGCAGCATTGTTTGCGTTTTCGATCAGTTTCGAAACTACCCCATTTATAGCAGCTGCTTCCAAATGGTTGCTATGTGAACAACAACAACAACAGTTACTAAGTAACGGTTTCAATTATTAAGCTTTTCGATCATCAACCGTCAATTTTTTTTTGTGTGTGGGAACAACCACCCAAGCGCAGCAACCATAGTTTCCGTTGCTAAGTTACTAAATTGTGTAATAATCAACAGTATAAGTTGTAATTGAAAATTCTCACAACAAAGAATATGAAATATGTATGTTTTAATCTACGAATTCCGTTTTTTTTTTTTGTTTGTTTCTAATCCGAACTCTGCGGTTTTCGGCCGTCGACGAGGGTAAATAAACTTTATGCGGTCGGTGTTGGAAAAATAAGCCGATGATTTCGATGAAGTGTGCGTCTGTAGAGAGAGAGAGAGAGAGGGAAAACGGAGAGAGTCGGTAATTGATAAGTTAATAATATTATGGTGATAACGAACGATAAGATTATCACAGTACAAATTGCAAACGTCGATTTGTTTCTATTTTTATTTGTTAATAATTATCATATTGGTAAACATCAAGGCAACGTTAAAAAACCCCTTGCGAATTTTTAGTTTTGTGTTGCTGGCGAGTTTTTTTTTTTTAATTTTTTATATAGGGAATGAATGCGGTTGAGATTCACGAGACATTGGAATTAAAACATTATCGTGGCATTCTTGACCCAAATAGAGAGAGGAGAGAGAGTGTGTATGTATGTTTTTATAGAGACACACACACAGTGTTCATTACGTTTGGCCACAACTATTTACTATTACTCATTAAATTTATTAATAAGAAAAAAAGTATTATTATCGTTACAAAATATGTTTTTTTCTTATATTAACTCATAAGTTTACGTTCATTTGTAACGGTTATATTGGATGCTGGGACACGAAGTAGGCTTTGCGAGTATTAAAAAAAAAAAATCGAGTTTCCATTGTCTGCGTGTTTTGGTGAAACGGAAACAACATCGATTAGTATGCGCTCTGCGCCGGATAAGAAACTATCCGTACTCGCCCGAAACATTATTTTTTTTTTCACAGAAAAGGAAAAAAACAAAAAGTTTCAGTTTGTTGTCGTCGAAATATTATGTATGTACGTGTCCTTGCAATCTATATAGAGTGCAACCATAATTCGTGTGTCAATAACTCGACTGAAATAATAACTGCTACATAATAAGTCGCTAGATTTGTTGTTGTTGTTGTTGCAGTAAGTACACTTGTCGCTATAACTATTTAGTGACTTAAGTTGGAATTAAGGTTTTGACTTAAGTCAAATAATAGATACTTTGCTTAACGAGTTTAATCCGTTCCAAAATTTCAGGATTTTTAATTATATAGTAAAACATATTCAAACATAATATGTGTACACAAGTTTTGAAAATGATGTAGTGGACTTCTCTTCTCATCGTCACTCGTTATGCGAAACGTCGCTCGTTTTTCTTAAAATTCATTTTACTCGTTAAGCGATGTTTGACTCTATAATGAAATAGCAATACTTAACATATTTTTATATTACTTTTTCTATAATAGATGTCGCTCATTGAAAATTCAATACTAATTGGTCATTGAATTGAGACCACCCACCCTCACGTGTTT